GTCTAGATGGTGGTTTTGCCTCTTCCTGCAAAAAAAACCTTTGGCTCTAAACCTCTGTTTCCAGACTAATTTTGGTGTCTCAAATACTAACCGCGAGGGTTGTCTATCCTTAAAGGTTGGCTTGACTAAAAAGATTTATGGCACTATTTGAGTCTGGCTGCAGTGAAAAAAATAAATATATTTTTGTTGTGTGATAGTAGTTATGCATACATATCAATCATTGACCCCTTAAGATGTTATTTGAAAGTGATATGAGATCAGCTGTAATTTCTTTTGTCTGCCAACAATTGTTTTTTATGTGGGTGTGACTACTTTTTATGATGATTTAGTATTTTAACTAATTGAATTTTGTTCAAAATGATAATTAGATTACATTTAGAATGGATTTTGTTTTGTTTGATATAAAATTAGATTATGTTGGAAGGTAGTTACGATTGAGTTATAAACTTAAATGGATGTTTAATAGAAGATATTTTGACCAAATAAAAATGTTTAAATGGAAAATGGATTGAAATATTTTTAATTAGAACCAACCTACTTGAACTTGGTCGGTTCAATTCAAAAATCGATTTTTTGTGGTTTTATTCAAAATTGTATTGAACTAAGTTTTTATTAAAAAAATTATTTTCTCTAATTAGTCTACTTGAATTAAATTATTGGTACAGGTAAAGATTGAATGTAATCTAGTTTAAAATTTTGTTTAAAAAGATTACTATTTGATTTGATTTGATTTGATTTGATTTGATTTTTAATAATAACAAGAATGCGAATATATTATCTTATTGAATAAGAAGGTATTTAGGGGGAGGGGGAGGGGAGGGGGAGGGGAGGGGGAAGGGATTTTGGATTTGGAAAGAGAAAGAAGGGGGGTTTGGGGGTTGGGGGTTGCAAGTGAAAAACGAGTATATCATTGATAACGCCATTGCTGAATCGCCCAAACCATTTCTTGCTGATTGGTTCCGCTAATTTTCACAGCCGAAATCTTAGGCTGACCTTTGGTGCGATCCTTCCACGCACAGCATTGCATCGCATCGCATCGCATCATGCACTTGCCTCTGCCTCTGCCTCCGCCTTCGCTCCTTACCTTCCTTACCTGTTTTGCTGCCCGCCATTCTCCTTTCCTTTGCTTCATCATCCCCTTCTAACGTCCCTTCCTCCCTCTTCTTCTTCTTTTTCTTCTTCTTCTTCTTCTTCTTCTTCTTCTTCTTCTTCATCTTCATCTTCATTCACTGCGATTCAATTTCCTTCTTTCACTACTCTCCCTTCACTTCCTTTTCCCTTTCCCTCACTTGGGTTCTCCCTTTTTTCCTTCTTTTTCCGCATCTCCCTTCTTAATTCTTCATCCCCATTACTTTCCTTTTCATTTTCCCCACTTGGGTCTCTCTTGTTTATGCATTTCCCTTCTAAATCTTCATCCCCAATTCGTTCTCTTCCTCGCCGCTGTCGGGTTTCATCCTTCTGGGTTATTTCTATCGCCTCGTTAATGATTATCAACAGAACATTAACGCCCTCTTAATCCCTCGGATTTTCAGCTCTACTTTCGCAACTATATCCTTAATACTCGCTTTATCTTCTTCTTCTTCTTCTTCTTCTTCTTCTTCTTCTTCAGTGCCGGTTCTTTCAACTATGCTACAACGAGCTGGCCGAGTTTAAATACGGTGGATAGAGATACGGTTTTGTTGATTTCATTACGTTCTTTTTCTTTCTTATTTTTCCTTATAATGGGAAGGGTTAAGCTCAAAATAAAGAAATTGGAGAGCACCGGTAGCAGGCAAGTGACTTACTCTAAGAGAAGGCATGGGATTTTGAAGAAAGCTCGGGAACTTGCTATACTCTGCGATATTGATATCGTTCTTCTCATGTTTTCGCCAACTGGAAGGCCCACGTTATATCAAGGTGAACGCAGGTACTATCTTCCACGCTATATCAATGTTGGTGATTCTAGTTTTTGCAACCGACATTGTTTTGTTATAGGGAATTCGGAAAACATGAATCATAGATTCCTCAGTATCAGGGACCTTCAATTTGTGTTGTTAATAATCTGTCATTTATGGTATCTTTGTATTGTATCTGGGATATGGAAAAAGTTCATTCATCCAAGGAAGAAATTGACTTCTTTTTTTGGAATTCCTGTGACCCTATGACGCCTAATATTAGTTATGAAAGTGTTTATACCTGAGTGTTCATGTTTTTCTTTTATGTTGAGGAGAATTAGAACCACACGACACATCAAAGTTCTAAAGGATAACTAATCAATTTCTGTCTTACGCTCAACGTGGATCTTTAATTTTTCAGCAACATTGAGGAGGTCATTACAAAGTTTTCTCAATTGACTCCACAGGAGAGGGCAAAAAGGTATAAGAACCTGTCCCTAGTGATTATGAATCAATTCCATTGCTAACTTTTTCTGCAATGCGGTAGCAGAGATGGCTAATATATTCAATTTTCCTTTTTTGGAACAGGAAACTCGAAAGCCTTGAAGTAAGTCTCTGCGTGACCCTTTTCTTTCTCTGCTTGCTTTTGTTGTACTTATATGTTTCCATGTTCTATTTGAGCATCTAGGCGCTGAAGAAAACGTTTAAGAAGTTAGACCATGACGTAAACATAAAAGATTTTGTGGGTTCAAGGTATTTGTCTATATCCCTCAAATGTATGTTGTACTGTTTTGTCCAAATTTCAATACTTCTACAATTGATGTTTTGTACTGTTTTTTTTCCTTCTTTCCTGCAATATCTCGCAGCTCTCAAGATTCTGAGGTACCAAGCTTTTGTTATCATTACTTTTCATAACATGAGATTAGTTTTGTGCATTTTGCTAAGTTTATATAATTTATCAGCAGGAATTGACCAATGAAGTTAGCATATTGCGAGATCAGATTGCTGATTCACATAAGAGACTGAGGTGCACCTTTGGAGCTTTTGTTATTAATGTATACAGCCTTTTCTTAGTTTTGCCTTGCAGATTAGATTGTATTGTTATCTTTTTGCAGATGTGCAGTAGAAATCACCTTTTATAGTATGAAAAAGACTATGAATAATATATCTAATCTGGTTGAAAAATAGTGGAATTAGACGGACTTGGAAGTGATAAAATCTGAAACCACAAGTTTGTGAGTTATCAACGTGAGCCAAAAGAAGCCTAAGTTGCTTGCTGAGCTATTGCTATAGGCATGATCATATGCATGTTTAGTATCAGGCATGGATATCATTCTGTTTGCATGTTGATATTCTAGTCTTGCTCTTATCCCTTCAGCTGTTGGAGGAATCTTGATAATATCAACAATATAGAACATCTCCAGAAGATGGAAGATCTAGCAAGGGAGTCCCTAAATCAAATGCGTCTACACAAGGTACGTTACGTGTGTTTTAGCTGCATATATCAAAATAATTGTTTTTATCCATGATTTTATGCCTCTGGTCTAAGGATGATATGGCTTATTTATCTTTTGGATTGATACTAATATCAAAACTCATTGGTGCATGATTCTTGCATTGGTTTGGTCTGATGTAGTGTTTTTCTGGGAGATCTTAAGTTATTTTATGTTGCATTTATTGAGGACAGAGGATATGATCTTCCATGTTACCTATTCTTCTCAAAATTCTATGTTTTTTATGTGAAGAAATTGGTAGTGGCACTTAACAGGCTCTGAAATTTGGCAGGAAAACGTAAGAAGACACCAAATACTCTCACAAGACTTCACTTGCCAGGTAAGAGCAGAACCTTTCATACCCATTTTTGCTAGGATGCTTATGCTGTGAATATCTTGATCTCAATATATTTCTATTTACCACAGTATCCGGGTGGTGGGATGTCCTTACCTTTGATGATGGACGAAATGCAAAGCACTCAACCCCTCTTATGGCTTCCCAACTATTGCACTCAACAGATTACTTTACCAAATGAGCCTAGCTTTCTGCAACCAGGGTGAGCCTGCAATGAACGAGACTCGTTTTTCGAATGTCTGGCTCTACATTTTTTTATTCCTGAACTCGAAACCAGATTTTATAATCAATATACTTAATGTTTATAAGGTGACAAGATAAAAATAGTCCTCTGTTTACAAATTCTCCATGTGGGGAATGTCTGCAGTGATGTTGAATGCTCCATGGCTACGTCTTTTTCGAGCTTTCCTAGTTTCTTCAACCCTGGGAAGCAACTTGAAGCTGGAATCTCTGGTCAAGTTGATAGCATGCCACAAGGTGATGGGGGTTTAAATGAACTAAGTGGAACCTCTTGCTCAACTCTGCAACTTGGTGACCAATATCCATACCCTACGTGTGATGGTTCCAACTTCCAAGATGACAAGAAACTGAATCTTGAGATGGAGATGAACTTACATGCAAATTGCATAAATAATCAACTAAATGGCAAGTTGGAGCTCTCTAGAGCTCTATATGGTGATGACCAGCATCCTTGGGCTTCTATACCAGGGCCTTGTAGCATTCCAATGTATCAAAGCAATGCGTACCACCATGTACGTTCTCTTTTAACTCCTCCCTCTAAAACTTCATGTATAACAGAATCCCTTTGCTTAATTAGTTCAAAGTTATTCATATGCCAATGCACCAAAACAATGCATATTGCGATTCAGAATAGTCAATGTTTTTGCTTGTCTCAATTGTAACTTCGATATTTAATGATCTCGTCGTCTCTTGCAGCAACCAAATTGATTCCTACCAATTTCACCAGGAATTGGAGGGGTTACAGATTGAAGAATTGTTCATCTTGATTGATGTAGTCAACATTTTTGTTGCAATGGCATCCATCTCCCAATTATCAGACGAAATTGTTTGGTATATATATTGGGATCAGAATGATCTGCTCCTCGTTTTGTCGTTAACCGGTATCCTCGACTTGTAAATACAAGATATACGAGATCAGAGGTACATTTTTAGATTAGATTTTTGTTTTCTAACCTCCTCATGGAAGAGCTGTAACATATTTGGGTTATTTGGGTTTTCTGGTTTCCTTAGCTGTACATTGAGCTATTGTAAAACATGGAAGCGAATTTCTTATTTTTTATATCGAGTTTCGAGAAATTTAAAGAAGTCGGTACAATAACAATCCTGTACACTGATATTCCCATGTCTACAATCACATAGTTTACATATTCTTGCCCAGATTTTATTATCCTATCCCCTTAGTGTTTGGACAACAGTGTTGTGCCATGGATCTGATATATGCTGCAAGAAGTTGTCAAATGGACCTTTTCCAGTCACATTGTGCTGAATGATGAATCCCAAGAATGCCAACATTGCCAATCTTCCTGTAAATGATCAAAACTTGATTAGTTTCATCATTAGACATGTAATTGAGCAATTTGATTAGCTAGTTTGTTCTATTTACCATTAGCAATCTCCTTTTCCTTGGCTTCAAGAGTTGGTTCAAAGTTGAGTGGGTTGAAAATTCCCCCCGGATATCCAACATCATTTGGTGGCAAGCTGTATTGCTTGAAAATGGGATCTTGGTTTACACTTCCTGGATTCTTTATGTCTTGCCATCTTCTGATTTCCACATAATGGAACAGAATGAACTCGATCACAAAGAGAGTTGACGACGATGCAAAATACTCGGCTTTCCCCGCATCGTACCATTTTGGTACGTTGATGATTCCATTACTTGTGAAGACTTCAGGCAATAGCATACCTGCAACTCCAAGCATTGCCCATCGGCCGTTCACAAGCTCTGCTTGCACATACCACCTCAAGTTTTCAGGGTCCTCTGCAAGTCCCAGAGGATCAAAACCATTGTCACCTGGAAGACTGCAAACAGAAAGTTTTCCAAATTTGCTAAATTCAAATCTCAATTTCCAAATCTCGTGTTTGATATCATATAACCAAATACCTGCCATCAAGGTAAGCTGGGGATGGCAAACCTGGGAGCCACTCTCCTTTCTTGGCCTCAACTTTGAAAGAACTGGGAACTAAAGAAGTTGTTGGCTTAACAGACAAAGCTCTGTTAAACTTTCCCGACGACCCCGAAAGGAACCTCGATCTTGACGCGCTTGGCCGGAATACAGCAGCTGAAGCCTGGATCATAACAATTGACATTTTTCCCTCAGGAAACTGGTCTTGAAAGCCTGGCTTTGGGTTTGAGATCAAGAAGTGCAATTTTCATTTAAGTTTATGGTGTTCATTTGTTGTGGAAATCAAAGCTTAGAAAGCATGATACTTAAGGATGATCAGATGGCTAAGATGAAATTATGAACTTTTGGATTAGCCAATAGGAACAAAAGAGCCTTATCTTTTATCTCAGGGTCCATTGCCATATCCATAAATCTAAATCTTTGTTTCAGTTGGTTGAAGAACAAATGTGTAGGCCAGCTTTTAGTCCATGATAGAAACTAATATCTTCCCTACAAAGTGGGGGCATGGGATATAATGGGTGGCTTTCCCTTCTATTTAGATTAACATATCAGTTGAGAACATACAGATATTTCACAGCAAGATGAAAATACATTGATTTTGTTCATATCCAAAGCTTTCCTTCTAAGAAATCTACACAACTAATACGATGAAATGATAGAAATCGACCAATTCTAAGTCTAAGTGAACTGTTTGCCGTAAAAGGTTTGTCCAAAAGACCAGCCAGAAGGGGCAACATTGTAGGACACAACCGAGCGACCATCACCGGTAATGACCCTAAAAGAGAGGGATTGTCCTACAAGATAATCGTTGCTCTGCCAGTTTTGACCCCAATTTCTGATCATGGCCTTCCAACCAGTCCTAGACCCTTTAATGAAAACAGCATGAACATCCCCTGCGCCTCCCACATTGCTTACGAGTACCAAATTGAAGTAGGGATTTCCGTCTATTCTGAACTTAATTCCTCCCCTCCTTGCACATCTAACCCTACACATTCGTTCATCTCAGATTTAGTAACTCAAACAGACACAGGCGTTGCAGTGCTACGGGATAGAAATCCATTAAACAATACGCGTACGTACCTTCGATACGCAACGGGAACGACTCCGGCGATTGTTTGAGCGATGCTTTGGAAGGCAGGTTGAGAGAGATCGAAATGGCGAAGTGAAGGATCGCACCAACCGCCCGGAGGACAGAAGTTAGTGGCGGTGACTACGACGGAGCCGGGAAGGCACCATTTTGGGTCGTTCACACATTTGACCTCAAAACAAGCCCCACAACTCAGCCCATTGTCGTACAAGGCTGTACTCAACGCCGTCGTTTTGATCCCATAGTTCTCGCTGTATACATTGCCATATCCACAAGCCCCACCTATAATAATTAAATTTTAAAAAATGCTAAATTAATAAATAAATAAACTTTTAAAAAATTTTAATAGTATGCTCTAACTTTAGTAAAAATTACACAGTGCTTCAAAAATAATTTAAAAATATTTTTAATTTTTTAAAAAATTCAAAAAATAACGTATATTTTAATGAGTTCCACAACATTAAAATTCAGATTCTATAAAATAAAAAAGCTTACTAGACACGATAGTTAAAGATTAGAGAGTAAAGTTATATAAGTTAAAAGAGAAGAAAACGTACCCAATGTGCCATAGGCGTCGGGACCTCCATAGAAAGTAGCATGAGCGCCATTCATCCAATTGGTTCCACGATATCCATGGACAAAGGAGCATAAAACAAAAAGGGTGAGTAACAAAAGCTGAGCTACAACAACGCCCATTGTAGCTGTGTGTACGAGAAGAAGAAGATGAAGCTTCTAAGTTTGTGTTGAATGTGTGAAATGCTAATGGGTTCACCCTTATTTATACGCTGTTTTCAACTCCAGTATGTTCCCATTTTATGCACAAAAATATATATTTATTTATTTTATAAATTTTTAAAAATAAATTAAATATTTTATAATCGAGTCTGAGTTATGTTTAAATTGATAAAATGAGTTAAAAAGAAAAAATAAATTTTAATTTCTCCTTGATTAAAGGGTGAGGTCAATTTTATTGCAAATTTACCTAATTGCCCACACCTTCAATCATGCCACTATTTTCCTTCCCAACACCCTCATTTTCTAAATATGTATTTTTTTCAAAATTATATCCAATTTATCTCCTTATTTTATTGCTTAATTTTTCAACTATTCTAAATTTATAATATAATAGTTTATTGTTTTAACCTAAACCCAATATAGAGATTTTCTTAATTTCATGTGAATATTGAGGTTATATTTATAATTCCAGCGTTCTTCATATATATATATATATATATATATATTATACTACAAACCGTTGGAGTTTGAGGTAAAATAATCAACCTTTTACTTCATTTGTAGAAGCAAAATATTTAAAGTATTTTTTAATTTTTAGAGGAAAAGATAAGTTCAAGAAGTTTGGGTGGAGCTAGCCATGTTCCTCCTCTTTGTTTTTTCAAATTAGTTAGGCAAATTTCCTATTACTCTCGGGTCGAATTCAATTAAATCCTATGCTTTTGATATTTTATTATAGTTAAATATTTAGATATTTGTCTCTTATTATAATCAAATATATAGTTTTTAGTTTATTGGATTAGTTACGAATACAGAACTTTCACATCATTGAATTGGGGTGGTTTTACTAAATATTCTCGTATATAACACAAAACCTATCAAATTTTATCCTATTTTTTTTAAAAAAATATATTTCGAAACTTTAAAATAATTTATCTAATGAATTTCTTAATATAGAAATTTAAATTTTGTGCCTATTAAATATTTTTTTATTAAAAAATAATATATTTAATTGTTACTTAGATATAAAATTAAAGTTAAAAATAAAAAATGTGGACATAAATTTTAAAATGAAAAATAATAAAAAGAAGTTTTGTTAATAATCCAGAACATAGAAGTAAAAATGAAACTTGAAATATTTAAGATAATATAATTAATTAAAATAATATATAAATATACCTTAAAAATAATTAAAAATTAAAAATAATATATAATTTTTTTTATATAAAAATTGAAAATAAGATAAGACCGATTGTGCCTTACTAAAATAAGATTATTATAGAATGAAAAAAAAAAAAAAAAAAAAAAA